ACAGTGCCTGGGATCTTGAGGAGGAACACATACCCAAACTTGGAGGCCAAAAGAGTGAGTACCTGCCTCCAAGGCCACACAGGTGATAGGTGGAGAAGCCAACACTAGAACCCAGTTCTTCAGAACTCCCAAGTCTGGTGTACCATTCACTTTATCATGCCGCCTCTGTTATTTTCAGTAAATTGCAACTGGGCAAGGTACCACCTTCCATTTATAGCACCATCATCTATTTCAGGAATATTGTGTGACATATGATATACTGAAGAATGTGAGCCCCATGGAGGCCGAGTTTCTTAAAGATGCTGGCAATAAGTGTAAAGTTAAATTCAGGTAATGTTTCTATGCTGATTTATTTCAAGAAGTTCTTAGTTAATATGAAGCAATCCTAGATATTTGTTTCCTTTTTTTAAATATATTTTATTGGTTTTTTACAGAGAGGAAGGGAGAGGGATAGAGAGAGTTAGAAACATCGATGAGAGAGAAACATTGATCAGCTGCCTCCTGCACACCCCCTACCGGGGATGTGCCCGCAATCAAGGTACATGCCCTTGACCGGAATTGAACCTGGGACCCTTCAGTCCACAGGCCGATGCTCTATCCCCTGAGCCAAACCAGCCAGGGCGATATTTGTTTTCTTAAGTCCTCATAACTTCTCAGTATATAACTGCAAAGTAAATGTGTTTTTATTTACATTTATTATGTAAAGAAACTGAGGCATGACTCTTAGGCCAAAAGTTGCCTTGAGAGTAGTTCATGTCCCATGATGTGTCCAGTCTGTCACACATGTGAGAATAGATGTGAGCATACACACCCCTAGGTGTGGCTCTTTCATCTTCTATAATCCATTTCATTACCAGTTTGTTCTATGCTCTGGTATAGCCTTTATCCTGCATGCAAGAAACTATCTTAAGCACAAGGGGGAGCAGTAATTGAGCCCCAAACCTGATTCCAAATGACACATTTTTCATCTTTATTTCAGATTCAATGGTGAAAAATTTCCACCTTTTATTGTGTTTAAAATTTTTCTACATACTGGAGGCAATGGTTACAAGTATTTCAGCGGAAAAAATATGTTAAAGCCGTCAAGTAAGGTGATGTTTCACACTGTACATTTTATGTTATTTAGGCTTCTTACACATCTTAACATCATAACATAGATATGTAGTATCTGGATTGCATTTAAGTATACAGACTATTATTTCACCATTAAACATCCCAGCAGGCAGTTAGTATTTTCTTTTTTTTTTTAATATAGTTTATTGATTTTTTACAGAGAGGAAGGGAGAGAGATAGAGAGTCAGAAACATCGATGAGAGAGAAACATCGACCAGCTGCCTCCTGCACACCCCCTACTGGGAATGTGCCCGCAACCAAGGTACATGTCCTTGACCAGAATCGAACCTGGGACCCTTCAGTCCACAGGCCGACGCTCTATCCACTGAGCCAAACTGGTTTTGGCAGTATTTTCTTAACCATATGTTTCAAAGTGTCTGTTTATTAGCTAAAAAATATTTGGAGTAATTACATATATAAGGCTCTAAAAAATATCCACCATTATTCTTAATATTAAATTTTTGGTTTGTTAAGACAGGGTAGGAAAAAGTAGGTTAATAATAATAATAACTATATAATTAATAATAAAACATTTTAAATATAGTCAATAAATATACATATTTTAAATATAATCAATAAAATATATTTTTATTGATTTCAAAGAGGAAGGGAGAGGGAGTGAGAATCATTGTTCAGCTGCCTCCTGCGTACCCCCCTCCCCCCACTGAGGATTGAGCCCACAACCTGGGCATGTGCCCCTACCGGGAATCAAACTATGACCTCCAGGTTCACAGGTCGACCCTCAACCATGGAGGCACACCAGCATGGCATATTTTTTAAAAGAATACATTTTCTGTTTTGCATACTCACAACTGTAAACCTACTTTTGCCCAACCCTGTAACGGACTAAAGTGGCCTATTGGTCAGTGCTTTAAAATTATGCATAACCTTTGATTCACTTTTGTCTGAATGGCATTTTGTCGTTGTTTCTTCAATTCTGGTAGCATCTTTAGAAAAAGCCATGCTGGACTATTGGAAATGAACTTTTAAAATATCCTTTTTTATCTGTTCTTTTAAGTTTTATGAATATTCACCAAAATTGTCTGCAGCATAGGAATCACCTGAGGATCTTGTTAAAGATGCAGTTTCTGATTGGGGCCTGAATCTAACCAGCTCCCATGGATCACACTTTTTTTTTTTAATCCTCACTTGAGGATATTTTTCCATTGATTTTTTTAGGGAGAGTGGAAGAGAGAGGGAAAGACAGAGAGAAACATCGATTAGTTGCCTCCTGCACAAGCCCCAGCCAGGGCCTGGGCCAGGGAGGAGCCTGCAACCAAGGTATGTGCCCTTGACTGGAATTGAACCCAGGACCCTTTGGTCTGCAGGCCAATGTTCTATCCACTGAGCCAAACCAGCTAGAGCCCATGGACCACACTTTTAATAGCAAGGATCTACAACACAGGTTTTATTCTGTTGGCCCTTATATATGACTGTAATTGAGTAAAAAAAAAAAGTAGACATTGTCATATTTAACCTTTTTTTGTTGTTGTTATTAATCCTCCCCCGAGGATTTCTTTGTCCCCATTGATTTTAGAGAGAATGGAAGGGAGGAGGAAAGACAGAGAGAGAAAGAAACATCAATGTGAGAGAGACACATGGATTGGTTGCCTCCCACCAGGATCGAACTTGCAACGAAGGTACTTGCCCTTAACCTGAATCCAACCCAACGCTCTAACCACTAAGAAAAACCAGCTAGGATTCATATTTAGCCTTTTAGAAACCATAAATCAAAGGTTCTTTTCCTGTCGCCTTCTGGAAATATTTACATGAAAAGTATGGGCCATCTAAAGTAATCAGTAATGCCATGAATTCAGGATAGAAGACCACACAACCTAGCAGTTTCTGATCAGCTCCAACATGTGTAACATTTCTTCTCCAAAGAATATTAGACAAGGAAAAAAGGCTGCTTTTCTCTGTTCTCAGGCAATATCGAAAAAAATTTAACTCCATTTCAGAAATGTATCAAATGGATTATGTGTTTTCATATGGAATATGGTGTTTCAGAAACATTAATATTTTTCATGTATATAGGAGGACTTCAAATACAAAAGTAGATGTTTATGTTCATGCCACATTAATCTACAGAATAAGCTTAGAGTTGGCCCTAGAAAATAGCATCAGTTGCTGCTTTCCTGAGGTTACATAATGGGGCCTTTCCAGGAACTGCAATTCTCCTGGGTCAGCTCCTAGAGGCCCGTACTGTCCCCAGGCTGGAGGTAATGAGAGCCTTGGACGCCGTGACTGGAAAGCACTGTGTGTATAGTAAAACTTGTAAAATGCTGTATAATAACTTCAGTTTTTATTTAAATTACAAAGTAACTGTTTTTAAAAATGAAATAGCACAGAGAGGGTTTGTTTTGTTTTTTTTTAAAAAAAGGAAAATATGCCTTTATGGCTTTCTTCTCTGTGCTGCAACTTTCACTCACCTGGGGTGATTAATGTTAACAGTTTGCTTTGTATCCTTCATGTTTTTCTTTTTTTCTTTTAATCTTTATTGTTGAAAGTATTACATAGGTCCTCTTTTCCCCCCATTAACCTCTTCTAGCCCGCTCCCATCACCCTTTCATGTTTTTCCCATGAAAATACACACACAGATATATTTTTAATTTTTTTTGTTCTTACTGTAAAAATGCAATCATATCATTCAGCTTGAGTTCTTCACTAAACATTATACGGGTTTTAAATGATGAGGACATACCCAGTTTGGAGAGTACAGTTTAGAGTTCCTGTTTCCCTTCAGTTCAGCTTCAAAACAAACTGGTAACTCTGGGATTAATGGCTGAGAGAAGTAGAATTTTTCTCACTATAAGTTTACTCAACTCCTTTGCTCTTTGAATGTAGAAATTATGTCTTCAGGAGACTAATCCAACTTCCTAAGTTTTAGTCCACTCAGATGTTTAATCTAAGTTCACTTACAAAGGAGGGGTGTTTCACAGGTTGTTGTTCTAGCTTTTCTCTTGTTTTTATTGCCATTTCTAGTTTCATGTCCTTATTTTCCAAAGGCATCTTTCATGTGTTCACCAAAAAAAAAAAAAAAAAAAAAAAAAAAAAAAAAAAAAAGCAAAAACAAGTGAAAGGATATAGAGTAGCCTAACAAACTTTGGAGAAGAAGAACAAAGTTAGAAAATTTACACTACCTGATTTCAAGACTTAAAAAGCCACAGTAATCCCAGCAGTGTAGTGATAACATATAGACATGTAGATCAATGAGAGCGAATAGAGTATTCAGAAATAGACCTACACATAGATGATGAATTGATTTTCATCAAAGGTGCCAAGACAGTTCAAATAATGTGAGAACAATTGTATAGTCGTGTGTAGAAAAAAGAGATCTTATTTCAGTTACCTACTTCGATGATCTATTTTCAGAGCAATACTTATTTACAGAGGGTTGTCACTGTGGTTAGTCCACCAACTATATTTAGAATATTCTAAAGCCTTGCGACTTACACAAAGTGTGCCCTGCTGACCTACAACATGGTTCAATTCCCCATTAGGGCACATGCCCGGGTTGCAGGCTCTATCCTCAGTGAGGGTGTGTGCAGGAAGCAGCCAACAGTTTTCTCTCTTGTCGATGTTTCTCTTTATCCCTCTCCCTTTCTCTCTCTAGAATCAATAAAAAATATATTTTTAAAATGCATAATCCCTAGCCATGGCCAGTGTGCTCAGTGGTTAAAGCGTCAGCCCACACACCAAAGGGTTGTGATTTCGATTCCCAGTCAAGGGCATGTACCGCGGTTGCAGGTTCAGTCCCACGCTCTGGTCAGGGCACATGTGGGAAGCAATCAATTGATGTTTCTCCCTCCTTTCCTCTCTCCCTCTCTCCCCATCTCACCCCTTTCTACCTCTCCTCCACTCTTTAAAAATCAATGGAAAAAATATCCTCAGGTGAGAATTGACCAAAAAACACATACTCTCAGGCCCTACCCAAGACCCACTGAATCAGCATCTGCCTTTAACAAGATGCCCAAGTGACCCTGGGCACAATATATTTTCATGAGCACTGTCCTAAATGTGCCCTCCACCATGGTCTGGAACCCCTCTGGGTAACTGACAGCTCTTAAACATTAACATTCAGTAACTATTATTTTAAATTGAAGATCCCATTCTTTTTGAGGATTGTGTATTTGTATAAAAAAGAAAAACATTAATGTTAATAATAGCTACCCCTATTGAACAGTATCAAGTATGATGTGTAACACTTTATGTGCATTATTTAATTCCCACAAACTCTAGAATGTAGATTCTGTTATTATCTTCATTTTAAAGAGACTAAGTAACTTAAGGTTTCATAATTAGAAAGTGAAGGAACTGACATCAAAACCCAGTGAGCCTGCCCAGCCAGTATGCTCAGTGGTTGAGCATTGACTTATGAACCAGGAGGTCACAGTTCAATTCCCGGTCAGGGCACACGCCTAGGTTGCAGGCTTGATCCCCAGTGTGGGGTGTGCAGGAGGCAGCTGATCAACGATTCTCGCTCATCATTGATGTTTCTAGCTCTCTCTCCCTCTCCCTTCCTCTCTAAAATAAAAAATATATGTATTAAAAAACAAAACAGTGGGCCTGACTTCATAGTTCATGCGCTTAACCACTCCTTAGTCAGCAACCCCACGTTCTCTTATATGACCCACGGATAACGTTATTCCCTTTTTGCCTATGAGGAAGCTGAAACTTAGAGAGGCTTGTCAGGGGCAGAACTGAGACTTGAACACTTCTCTGCGTACTGTGCACATTTTGAGGCCGGTATGGTGGTTTTATTAATTCAAATTTTTTTAAATATATTCTATTGACCCCCTACAGAGAGGAAGGGAGAGAGACAGAGAGCCAGAAACATCGATGAGCGAGAAACATCGATCAGTCGCCTCCTGCACACCTCCCACTGGGGATGTGCCCGCAACCAAGGCACATGCCCCTGACCGGAATCGAACCTGGGACCCCCGAGTCCGCAGGCCAACGCTCCATCCACCGAGCCAAACCGGTCAGGGCTGGTTTTATTAATTCAGAGCCTGTTTCTAATTGAACTGTTTCAAACCAATAAACTGTCCCCATGCAGAGATACTGTTATTACCACCTTCATGAGTAAGAATTTCCAGCCAGGCAGGGAAGAGACTTGAGATGTTACAGTAACTTGATAGCCCAAGTATGGATCTAGGCCAGCAAGTAGCCACAGGGATGGGGGGGCTTCTGGGCCACATTGATGCCGGGTATCAGGGGAGGTGTCAAATTTAGAGATGCCCCCCTCTGACCCTTGGAGTCACCCAGGAAGAATGGAACCTGCCCGTTGAATCTTAGTCTGATTGGCGGCTATCCTGGAATCCTTGCCTAGTTTTTTGTTTTATTTTGTGTTGTTTTTTTATTAATCCTCACCGGAGGTTTTCCCATTGATTTTTAGAGAGAGTGGAAAGAAGGGGGCGAGACAGAGAGAGAGAAACATTGATGTGTCTCTCAATTGGTTGCCTCCCGCACACATCCCAACCAGGGCTGTGGATTGAGCCTGCAACCAAGGTACGTGCCCTTGACCGGAATGGAATCCAGGACCCTTCAGTCCAAGGCCGATACTCTATCCACTGAGCAAAACCGGCCAGGGCTAGGAGTTATTTTAATATATATATATGAATATATATATATATTATTACGTAATATATATTATGTAATATATAATTATGTTATATTACATAATATATATACACACAGACATATATATATACACACACACACATATATTATTAATTTCAGAGAGAGAGAGATAGAAACATCAATGATGAGAGAATCATTGATCGGCTGCCTCCTGCACACCCCCCACTGGGGATCAAGCTAGAGCATTGCCTAGTTTTTACCCTTCCCTTTTGGGGCTGGGCTCTGCTTTCCCATCTCTTTCTATCTAGAAGGACTTTCCTGAATCTGGCCATACACGACAGAGGTATGAGAAAGAACATCTTGGCCACTGGATGGCAAACTTTTTCAAATCCCTGTCACAAGTAGGCAGCAGGCCTGCCATGTGCTGCCAGGCATAGAGAGTTTTGACTGAGAGACGGGGATGGGCCTCACACAGCTGAGGCCCTGTACAAATAAAGAAACCAGGGCTTGGAGAGATTGGTGGTGGTGGCAGAGTGGAGTAGAGTAAGGAGGAAATACCAAATGCCTTTTTAAGTAACTTGTTCTAAAGTAAAATATAATTATATCTAAAGAAATGCTCAAAGCAGAAGTTAAGTGGTTTTCAGACCTGTTCAGTGTATATCTATTTGCTTTTACCTTTAGAGTCACCGTGGGAATGGTTAATTAGGACCCTCATAAAATTAATTGCAAGAAAGCATAGTGGATGCCCTAACTGGTTTGGCTCAGTGGATAGAGCGTTGGCCTGTGGACTCAAAGGGCCCAGGTTTGATTCCAGTCAGGGGCATATACCTTGGTTGTGGGCACATACCCA